TTACTCGGCAGACGGTATTAGCGTCCACTGAACGAACCGAAAAAACTGAATATAGACAAAACTCCCAAAAAAGTAGTTGCACAGACTTTTGATGGAGCCTCCATTATGAGCGGAAAAAACAACGGGGTGCAGGTTAAAATCCGGGAAATTTAGTGCACGGTTTATTCACATCAGGAATTTGATAATTGAACGTGCTACGTCCCAGAATAAGCAAATGAAAAAAATCTTTTTCAACAAATGCAAATTTGGAGTGAATAGGATCACTTATTTGGGCTATGAATTTTCGGAAAAAGGAATGCACATAGATGAAGAGAAATTGAAGGCAATCGCAGACATGCCACCTCCAACGACAAAGCAAGAATTACAAAGATTTTTGGGCATGGTGACATATGTCGGAAGATTTATAAAAAAATTGTCAGAACAAACTGCACCACTTAGGGAAATACTCAGAGATAAAAATTGTTTTGTCTGGAATCATGCACAAGAAAAAGCCTTTCGAAATCTTAAAGTCATGCTAATAAACAGACCCTGTCTACAATACTTTGATCCAAAGGAACCAATTGTGTTATCCGTTGACGCTTCGAAATCTGGTTTAGGTGCTGTACTTCTTCAAAAAGGACTCCCATGTTGTTATGCTTCCAAGGCAATGACTTCAACACAACAGAAATATGCACAAATTGAAAAAGAGATGCTCACCATCTGCTTCGGAGTCGACAAATTTCATCAATACATTTATGGCCAACGAGTTACAGTCGAAACTGATCATAACCCACTTGTACCCATCTTCAAAAAGAATTTAAATGATTGTCCTCAACGTTTACAGAGAATGATGCTGAAACTACAAAAATATGACCTAACGATCGTTTACAAACCCGGAAAAGAATTATTGGTTGGAGATACATTATCCCGTGCATATTTGAAGGAAGAAGATGAAGACAGTTTGGATCTGGAGATGCAAATTTGTTCGATCATGGAAACAATCACAATAACTGATAAGAGATTGGAAGAATTAAAAAGAAAAAAAACAAAAAATGATGACGCACTTCAACATCTAAAGAAATATATAGAAACAGGTTGGCCTATGAATAAACGACAAATACCGGACTCTGTCAAACCGTATTACAACTTCAGAAATGAGATAACACAAGGTCAGAATCTAATTTTTAAAGGAAATAAAATAATCATACCAACTTCAATGCGAAATACAATACTGAACAGCATTCACAGTGGACATTTTGGTATAAATAAATCCATTCAACGTGCTAGCACAGCAATCTACTGGCCAACATGAATACAGAAATTGAGAAGATGATAAAAGTGCGAAACATGCCAAAAATACATGAATTCAAATTCTAAAGAACCACTCATACAACACGAAATTGTCGAAATACCATGGTACAAAGTAGGAATGGATATCTATGAATTATATGGGGAATACTATTTGATTTTGGTAGATTACTATTCGAAATATCTTGAAGTTATGAGTTTGAACAAACATTTAACTTCTAAAAACATCATTGAAAAATTAAAAAGTATATTCGCTCGACATGGGGTACCAAACATTGTGATTTGTGACTCAGGAACGCAACTAATTAGCCAAGAGATAATAAGTTTTACTCACAAATGGAATTTTGAGGTCAAACCAAGCTCCCCGCACCATTAACAATGTAACGGCATGGCGGAAAGAACAATTGGCACCATCAAAAAACTATTGAAAAGACCATCGACGACAAAGAAGACATCTACTGAGCTTTACTTGCTTATCGCAACACTCCTGTTTACAACTCATACACACCATCTCAAATTTTAATGTCCAGGATTCTAAGAGATAATATGCCACTTTCCGAGCCCGTGGAGTATCTGAGTGGCTTAAAAGTACAAGAAAACACTTCAAAAGTGACGTTTCTGAAGAATTTTAACAGTTTTCTTGTATCTACGAACGCCAGAATGCATAAAATTGACCTAAACGTCTCCTTTTCCTATTCTGAGTCGATTCTGCATGCTTTAAGTGTGTTTGGTGGCTCAGAACCATCAAAAAACGTTGAAATATAGTTCAAATTCAATAAAAATCGACAAAAATACAGTTTCTAGCTAAAATTTGATGGTTTCGTTGCACTTTCCGAGCCCGTAGGGTATCTGAATGGCTTAAAAGTACAAGAAAACACTTCAAAAGTGACGTTTCTGAAGAATTTTAACAGTTTTCTTGTATCTACGAACGCCAGAATGCATAAAATTGACCTAAACGTCTCCTTTTCCTATTCATTGTGTACATTTGAACAATGTGATACCTGCCGTATATGCTTTATTGCCAAACAAGACGCAGCAAACATATACTGAAATGTTCCAAGCATTGAAATCATTACAAGATGGATTAAACCCAACGTCCATAATGGTTGACTTCGAAAAGTCCGCAGTAAACGCAATCCACAAGGAATTTGGCGAAACCAAAGTTCAGGGTTGTTTTTTCCATTTCACGCAATCCTTTTGGAAACACATTCAAAGATGTGGACAGCAACAGAGATATGTCACTGACGCAGATTTTGCGTTAAATATAAAAAGTCTGGTAGCGATAACATTTTTTCCAGAAGATGCAGTAACATCAGCACATATTTTTTTTCTGCAAGAATGAAAATATTTTGCAGCCACTTTTGACATATTTCGAAACGACATGGTTGGATGTTTTAGACAGAACAGGACGCAGGCGAACTCCACAATTCTCAATCTGTATGTGGAATTGTAGAGACTCCGTCGAGAATGATTTACCAAAAACGAATAATGCTATTGAAGGTTGGCATAATAGTTTTCGGTCGTTGGTAAATTCCGTGCATCCTGATGTATGGAAATTTATTAAGTGTTTGAAAAAGACTCAGTCATTAAATGAATTAAAAATTCAACAAATTTTGGCTGGCAACTATACAGTTCAGCAGAAGAAATCTTATAAAGATTTAACACGACGTATTAAAACCATTAGTGGAAATTATGAAAAATATACAGTTATTAACTATGTTAGAGCCATTTCGCACAACATTCAATTAAGCATATAAATTTGTAAAAAATATGCCTATGTTTTTTTTTAAATAATTGTATAATAAATCTAGTTAAGAACAATAAACACTTTTTTTTGTTCAGTACTTATTATAATGAAGCTAGTTCCTATAATCTAATAGGTAAAATAAGCAACGATATAAATAGTAACAAGTATTCATAAAAAATAAAGTGCAACTGCAAACATCGTGACTTAACTCCAATCAAATTGGTTTTAATTCGATATTTACACCTTACCTGATTGCTAAATTTATTGCAACTTAAAATTCAGAATACAAAATATTTAGTTTTAATGAAAGAAAATACTTCCCCATGAATTTTACCTTGCGATCAATTGTCACTGCGATCAATCTGCGTGCGATCAACTGTCGCTGTGATCAATTGTCACGCGATCAGTTGTTTGCGACCAGTTGTCGTAGAATCGCGAAACGTAACGATGGGTGCCGTAATATCGCGAACGGGGACAATAATTCTTAAATCTAAAGGTCAGTTTACATTATGGGATTTTTCTTAGGATTTCCTTAAGAAAGTTCTTATGATAATTCCTAAGCAAAAATTCAGTTGTTTACACTATGTGATTTTTCTTAAGAACACACTCCCAAGTGAAATCCTAAGCGATTTCTTAAGCATTCATAGGCCGTCCCAAGGAATACGACGTAGCTATTTCTTGTGACAATTCACAGCTTTGCTATCCTAAATTTTAAATTTGACGCCGTTTCTGAGCAACAGCTGATGTTTTGTGAAGTTAGAAATTCAATAATTTGTGTTTTGCTTCACGTTGTTTCATACGACCACTGTTGGGTGACCAGTAGCAGAAAATAAAAAACGTACTTTAAGAGTGATGGACAATAGTCAGAATAATGTCTTTTCAGATAATGGAATGGAATCGCAAAATGACTGAGGAAATTAATAAAGCGATATGAACAAAATCCATGTTTATATGATACAAAACATCGCTTTTACTCAAATAAGCATGCGAGGCAAGATGCTCTGGGCAAAATTGCCGAAACTTTAAAAACACTAAATCCCTTGCTTACCGTGGAAGAAGTGAAAAAAAAATCATAAAAGTGAGGTCCCAGTTCAGCAAGCAAAAATAAATAAAAAGAAAAATAACAAGTCAGGTGCAGAGGAAGATGACTCTGGTCCCAACCCTTGGTGGTACGAATCCTTACTGTTTTTGTTCAAGGGCGAAAAGGAAAAACTACTTTGGATAAGAGCACGGTATGTTTATCACATAACATCAATTATAACTAACGCAGCTTTATTATTTATAGTCTACAGAAATACCACCAGAAAATTATGACATACCTTCAGCTGTAGAACTCGAGAGGAAGCCTCCTTCTCCAACGTCATCTGCTTGTGCACCGCGAACTACCAAAAGAAAACGCAATGTATCTAAAAGTGACATCGACACATCCATACAAAAAACTCTCCGAGCTATTGATAAATTTGATTTCGCAAAGGAAGAAGATAAACATACCGTTGTTGGAAACTTTGTTGCCATTGAATTAAGGGACATTCACGATGAAGAAATAGTAAATGATGTTAAACATGGTATCAATGAAATGTTGTATAAAGCGAAAAAAGAGTGCATTGTTGTACACAATCTGTTGGAATAATTATAAAATATATAATATAACAACACTTGAAAGTTAAATTTTTTAATTGCTTCCTATTGCCATGAAACGAATCCTGTCCCATTAAAGTATGTGGTAAATTTCTTGCGTATTTCAATTGCTTCATTTGCAGGTTTTTTTGATACTTTTTCAAGGTCAGTCATTGTAGTGTCCTAATGTACCGACATGTACGGCCGGGAATGCAGATTAGCATTGACAAGTGACAGGTAAAAAATGTAGAAACACACTTGTAATAGTACGTTAATAAATACACGTTATTCTCCGATTCAATTCGCATTTATTAACACAACATTGGCGACGAGGAAAAGGATAAAGAAGATGAATGCCGACAAGACGGGTATCAAAACGTTCGACCCGACGGGGGAGGAATCGGAAACAGCACAGAAATGCGACCGATGGTTACGATCGTATGATATCTGCACTAACCGCAATTTTTCAGCCAAAAAAGAACTATACGTACGAAAGGCACGTGTTTCGGTCATTAAGCCGGAAAGAAGGCGAAACCATTATCTAGTTCGTCACCCGCTTAAAGGCGCAGAGTGCCAACTGCAACTTCAGAAACAACGCAGACGACATGATCATCGACCAACTAATCGAGAAATGCACTTCAAATGACCTGCGAAGGCAACTGCTAAAGGAAGGCGACAGTTTAACAGTAGATCGAGCCAAGGAGCTGGGAAGAATCTTCGAAGCCTCCGAGAAGCAAGCCGGGCGAATGGAAGCCGGAAGTCAAGACATCCGAAGAGTAGATAAGAAAGTGAACACGAAGCGTCCACCCAAAGCGTCCAAATGTTACAGATGCGACGGGGAAGGTCACAGAGCGAGTGATGAGAAGTGTCCTGCAAGGAATAAAACATGCAACAAATGTGGGCTGATAGGACATCTGGGGAAATGCTGCAGAACAAAGAAGAAAACGACTGAACAAGGGAAAAGAATCCGAAACGTCGAAACTGGAGATCCGGAAGACAGCGAGTATGCTTTCCAAGTACAAGACGAAGACAGCGACCTAGACAGTATTCAAGTTTTAGTCGGAGGGGTCAAGGCAAGATTTCTTATCGATTCAGGTGCAACATGCAACGTAATAGACAAGAAGAGTTGGGAAAACCTGAAAGCAAGTAACATAAAAAGCACCTGTGGGGAGCCGGACACGAAGAAATTATACTCGTATGGGGGACAAGTACCATTGAAGACATTGGGTACATTCAACACCACCGTAGAACTAGAAAATTGAAGGAAGCTAGACTCGATCAAGTTCTACGTCGTTGATGTCAAGGCTACACCAATAATCGGAAAGAGCACTGCTAGGACGTCGGGCATCCTGCGAACAGGATTCCCGCTACGAAACGTCAGCAGCATAGAGGTCCCTTCCATCGAATCGCTAAGCAAAAAATTTCCTAACGCTATGGGCGACGGAATCGGGAAACTCCATGATTACTCCTTGAAAATCGCTATTGATGAAAAAATTCCACCGTTGGCACAGACTGACAGAAGAATACCGTTCCAGCTACGACCTTTGGTAAAGGAAAAGCTGAGGGAGCTAATAGAAAGCGATATAATTGAGAAGGTCAACGAACCGCCGCGATGGGTATCACCAGTAGTTTGTACAACAAAGAAAAACGAAGAACTACGCATGTGTGTCGACATGAGGGCAGCAAACGAAGCCATAATCCGAGAACGTCATCCAATTCCAACGATCCACGATTTGATTCTGAGCGTAAATGGAAGCAAATGGTTTTCAGAAATTGACTTAAAATCAGCTTTTCATCAAATCGAATTAGAAGAGAGTAGCAGAGAAATCACAACATTCGCTACATGCGATGGGCTTTACCGATTCAAGAGACTATTTTTTGGCATAAACTGTGCACCCGAGATATTCCAACGCATCATGGAACAACTACACCTACACGGTGTAGAAATATATGTAGATGACTTCTTGATCCATGGGAAAACCCTAGAAGAACATAATAGAAATTTACTCGAACTACTCAAACGACTTGAGAATTCTGGCATAACAGTGAACAAGGACAAGTGCAAGATAGCACAGAAGAAATTAGAATTTATGGGCCATGAGATCAGCGAAGAAGGTGTACGACCGCTAAGAAGCCGAATCGAAACAATCAAAAACTTTCGGGCTCTGTTGATATTAGAGAAAACTACCCTTTTTGCTAACTGTATTACCGACATAAGCTTGCGCATGTGCGCACTTGACAAACTAGTACTGTAAGTTTAGTTGATGTACCACGAAGTTGCAATACACATTTCAATCGTTTCGTTCAGTTTTATTCACCTATAATTTCCAAACAATCAATTCCACTGGATAAAGCAAAACCTTGCTACAGGTTATGGGCCCAGGGTACTGCTGATTGTTTGGCCGCGTGTAAAAATAAGGTGAATCCGATATATCTCAGTGATAAAAACTTTTGTGTTCCGGCAACAAAATGGCAGCGTCCACGCTACCACCGATCGAAAAACTACTAGGGCGCGAAAACTTCAACTCATGGAAATTCGCAATGCAAACATATTTGGAGCATGAAGAGTTGTGGGAATGTGTTGAGGGTACGAACACTACGGCAAAACAAGTTGCAAAGGCTAAGGCCAAAATAATCCTGTCAATACACCCCATAAACTATGTCCACGTGCAAAATGCGAAGACAGCGAAAGAGGCATGGGAAAATTTAATCAAGGCCTTCGACGATAAAGGACTTACGCGAAGAGTTGGCCTGTTACGTACCTTAATCACAACTCAGTTGGAAAATTGTGATTCCGTAGAAGAGTACGTTAACAAGATTATTTCAACAGGACATAAATTGACGAATATTGGTTTTGTTGTAAGTGATGAATGGCTCGGAACGTTATTACTTGCTGGATTGCCAGACCATTATCGCCCAATGATAATGGGACTAGAAAGCTCCGGTATCGCCATTACCAGTGACTCCATCAAGGTGAAATTATTACAAGATGTCAAAGTCGATACAAGCAGTTCAAACAAAAATGGAGTAGCGTTCTTCGGAAACCACGCCGAAAAGAAGAACTACACTAAAAATGGGCCACGGTGTTTTGAATGTAATAAAATTGGTCATCTCGGGAAGAATTGTTTTAAACGAAAGGCTCGCCTGCAGAGAGAAAATGGCAAATCTTCCAACACGAAGGAAGCGAAATCCTTCTTAACAGTCACAACGGAAACGATCATGTTGAAAAAAATGAATGGTATATCGACTCCGGCGCATCGGTCCATCTAACTAACGACAAAACATGGCTGACATCCGCAAGCAAACCTCCTTCATCCACCCAGGAAATTATAGTAGCCAATAAAAATCGTCTAAATGTCGATGCAGTGGGGGAGGTAAATTTGGACGTTTGTACAGGTGGTACACCTGACAAAATAAACGCAAAAGAGGTTATGTTTGTGCCAGATTTGACAACAAACTTGCTGTCTGTGAGCAAAATAACCAATAAGGGGCACAAGGTCTACTTTGAGAGCAGTAAATGCAGTATATACGACAAAAGCAACGCCCTCATCGCCAGTGCCACACTGAAGAATGGCATGTACAAACTGGATCGACCGAAAAATAAGGTGCACGGTGCTAACTCAGTATCAGTTGCTGACAATATACATCTATGGCATAGCAGATTAGGCCATCCGTCAACGGACAGCATGAACCGAATAAAAAACGGGGTCGTTACGGGAACGAATTTCAAAAATTCCCTGAGTGAACCTTGCGAGGTATGTGTGCAGGGCAAACAACACCGTCTACCATTTAAGCCACATGTCAAGAACTCAAGCCGACCCTTGGAACTAATCCATTCAGACCTATGTGGTCCTATGGAGGAAAATTCATTGGGAGGGTCAAAATACTTTCTCACTTTTGTGGACGACTTCACCCACAAAGTATTTGTTTACTTCCTAAGAAACAAATCAGAAGTACACGATGTTTTCCAAGAATTCAAGAATATGGTAGAAAATCAGACGGGAAATAGGGTCAAGACTCTGAGGACTGACAATGGAACTGAATATGTCAACAACAGGTTGCTCAAGCTGCTGAAATTGTCTGGTGTTTGTCACCAAACAACGATTCCACATACGCCCGAACAAAATGGAGTTGCAGAGCGGATGAACCGCACCATCATAGAAAAAACGCGTTGCTTATTAATTGGTGCCAATTTGAAGAAAAGGTTTTGGGCAGAAGCCGTAAATACAGCTGTCCACTTGATCAACAGAGCACCGACAAGAACATTGAAAGATGTCACACCAAATGAAGCTTACACAGGTAAGAAACCTGATCTATCCTATTTAAAAGTGTTTGGTTGTAGGGCATTTGTTCACGTGCCTAAACAACAACGCAGAAAATTGGACCCGAAGTCAGAAGAATGCATTCATGTGGGCTATGCAAATGGTTCGAAAGGCTACCGGCTCTATCACATAAGAAAACAGAAAATTGTGGAGGCTAGAGATGTTGTATTTTTTGAAAAAGAACTTCCAAATGTATCGCAATGTGAAAACAATGATTGGTTGTTTTACCCAATCACCGAGAAAACGAACCTCCATGATCATACTGAAGAAAGTGAAGAGTGTGAGATCGAAGAAACTCAAGCAGACGAAATTGATGAACAAGAAATTGAAGAAATTCAGGTTGAATGTAATGTCCATGAAATTGAAACCAATGATGATGTTGAGCAAGTCGAAAACACCGAAAGAGAAGAACCCGCTATAAGAAAATCAAGTAGGGAAAGAAAAGCAAAGGAATTTTCTGAATATATTTGCTACCATGTTCAGTCGTTGACGAGGGAGCCCAAAAATGTTGAAGAAGCTGTTTCGAGTCCTGAGTGTACAAGATGGCTTGAAGCAATGCAAGCTGAATACGATGCACTCATTGAAAACAAAACATGGACTCTCACAGATTTGCCAACCAATGCCAAAGTGATTGACAGCAAATGGGTATTTAAAACAAAATTAGATCAAGACGGGAAAGTAGTGAAAGGTTGTTGTCAACGTAAGGGGATAGATTATCAAGAAACCTATTCACCTGTGGTACGATACAATTCGATTAGATTGATCTTAGGCCTTGCAGTCAAGTATGACTTTGATATTGATCATATGGACGCAATGACTGCGTTCTTGCAAGGAGATCTTAACGATGACATTTTTATTCAGCAGCCTGAATTATTTGAAGTTAGAGGCCAAGAAAATAAAGTTTGCAAATTAAACAAGGCAATGTATGGTTTGAAGCAAGCTGGAAGACAATGGAATTTGAAGTTACATCAAGCGTTTATAGAAATTGGGCTAAATCAATCAAAACGAGATGAGTGCATATATTATCTTTGCAAGGATAATAAGATTGTCATTGTCGCAGTCTATGTAGATGATTTACTCATTTTGGGCAACGATTCAAAAATGAAAAATGAATTGAAGAAAGAATTGGAAAGCAGATTCAAAATGAAAGATTTGGGAGAATTACAGTACATCCTGGGAATTCGGGTAACAAGAGACAGAAAAGAGGGCAAATTATGGTTGGACCAATCAAAATATTTAGAAGAGGTTTTATCAAAATTCAACATGGCAAACTGCAATCCGACTAAAACTCCGTTAAGTCCATCCGAGAAGCTAACAAAAGAAATGTGCCCAAAATCCACGAACGAGGTTCAAAACATGGAGAATGTACCATATCAAGAGGCAGTTGGGTCATTGATGTATGCATGTCAGGGTACGCGTCCGGACCTGGCATATTCTCTAGCGTTATTGAGCCGATTTAACAATAATCCAGGCTCTGCTCACTGGTCAGCTGTGAAACGAGTCCTTCGATACATCCAGGGCACAAAGGACTTCAGACTTTGTTTTACAAGGACAGAGAATGGAAAACTTGCAGGTTTTTGTGACGCAGACTGGGCAGGTGATGAAGATGAGAGACGGTCAACCACAGGATATGTCTTTACATTCCAAGGGGCCCCTGTATCATGGAATAGCAAGAAACAACCCACCATTGCTTTATCCACAACTGAAGCAGAATACATGGCTCTAAGTGCAGCGGCGCAAGAAGCTATATGGTTACAGGGCCTTCTAAATGAATTAATGCCTGAAGTCGATGACGAAGGACCTATTCTGAAATGTGACAATAAAAGCGCAGTGGATCTGAGTCGAGTGGGAGGATACAGAGCAAGGACAAAGCACATAGATGTGAGACATCACTTCCTTCGTGAGCAAATTCAAGAAAAGGCCATACAAGTTCAACACATTGCTTCGAAGGAAATGACAGCTGATGTGATGACCAAAGCATTACCTCTGGAACTGCATGAAAAGCACCTGAAGGAAATGGGACTCAAGAAGTGTTAATTTTACTTTATTTAAATTTAAAATTTTTTTGTTGATAGTTGTAGTTTTCTAGTGGGAGTGTTGATATTAGAGAAAACTACCCTTTTTGCTAACTGTATTACCGACATAAGCTTGCGCATGTGCGCACTTGACAAACTAGTACTGTAAGTTTAGTTGATGTACCACGAAGTTGCAATACACATTTCAATCGTTTCGTTCAGTTTTATTCACCTATAATTTCCAAACAATCAATTCCACTGGATAAAGCAAAACCTTGCTACAGGCTCCGAAAACAAAAACCGAGCTAAGCAGTTTCTTGGGCTGGCTAGGATTTTGCAGTAAGTTTATACCCGAATACTCAGCGTTAACTGCTCCGCTTAGAAAACTGATTAGAAAAGACGTACATTTCCAATGGAGAAGAGAACAAAGCAAGACGTTTGAACGACTAAAAGGGGAACTAATGAGGAGTAAAACCCTGGAATTCTTCGATCCACGTTGTAAATCAACGATCATAGCTGATGCAAGTCCGTATGGCTTAGGTGCAGTTCTCGTCCAAATGCAGAATGGGGGGGAAGAAGATCATTGAATACGCAAGTCGAGCCTTAACAGACGCAGAAAAAAAGTACAGCCGAACTGAAAAAGAGGCCCAAGTCTAGTATGGGCATGTGAAAGATTTCACCTGTACGTATACGGCGCTGCATTTGATATAATTACAGACCACAAGTCGTTAGAATTCATATTCTCACCCAGATCAAAGCCTTGTGCACGAGTAGAAAGATGGGTCTTGAGGCTTATGGGATATAACTTCAACGTTATATACCAACCAGGCAAGAAAAATATTGCAGACCCATTGTCCAGGCTAACTGCCACGAATACAAAATTAAACATCGCCGATGATGAACATCACTGTAGCAATTTTTTTTTCGATTCATCACTACTCTTTGGTGTTGACAAATAATCCCTTTGTAGCACTTCATAGATCGCAT